AACTCAGCAAAATATCACTGCACTGGTTTACACTTTGATATTATCCTCAGAGCCATAGAAGCAAGGACACTTGCCTGGGTGTTTTTTTCCCCTCCTGTAGACTAAAATACTGAAGAACTTGTTAGGTCAGCTCCAGAGTGCTGAAATGTGCCAGTATGTGAAAAGAATTCCACCACCCAGGATATGCAAAACTGTCACACACCCCCCAAAGCATCTCCAGCCCTTTGAAGCCACACCAACACCACAGGAAAAAAGTGTCCTGGTTGTTATATGTCATATTTTAATCTACATGCCATAAGGCTTATTAGATTGGAAAATAAATCACAGGCACTGAGACTACTTATTACTATAAATCAAAAGTACATTCTGATGCTTTATGTATGAAAAGAAAACAATGTAAGGGTGTTCCATAAAAGAAAGTCAGGGCTAGGACTTATTCACAAAGCTCCACTGGAGATAAAAGGATCATTCAATCATTAAGTGATCTCAGCTGATTTAACATGGTTTAAGTTAGTCCTGCCTCCTGACAGGGATGCAGTTCTGACTAAGAGAAAAAAAGAAATGAGGAAAAGAAACCTCGTAACCAGATGCTATATCCAGAGAGACTGATTGGGAATATAATTGTATAAATAGGAAAAAAAAGTGTTTCTGCTAAAAAAGCTGTCTTATAGGTTAGAATTTATCTATCCATGCTGTACTTAAACAACTTTTTAGGCATGTTTGAAGCCAGTGCTGTAAACTCAAAGGTTGTATCTGCAGCACTGAGTGGTGTCTACAAAGCAAAGGGAGCAAAAGCAAGTTCCAGAGCACTGTGTACACCCAACTCAGGAAAAGTTCACCTATAAGTACCTAAATAATCCTCTACAGGATCCACCACATGCGCAGAGCACAATAACGCAGCTTTAATGCAGATGGGAATATTTGATTAATTTTATTAATTATTTATAAATGCAACTTAATTACTTGCTGAGATATCAACAGGACAAAAGGAGTTCTCATTCTTTATATTCCACCTCTAGTGCCAATTTTGCCTGTTTCTTTAGATTAAATTAAATTCTAACCACCTCTATTGACTGTGACAGACTGATCCTAGTAATGGTGTAGATCTGCAAGTGCGGGGTTATGCTGGAAACTAACAGATCTCTCTGGTCATTTACCAGCACGGGAGATCCCGGGCAGGAACAGCAGACCAAGAATTCAAAGGCACAGGGGTTACTGCACGTAATATTTGTTTCTGTAAATGTCAAATGCTACTTAAGAATTCTTTTATCTCACCTTATCTTCTCTTTGAAAGAAAAGGAAATGTGTAATCGAGTGATAAATTAATGTGTTCCCATGTTTAACGAGAGGGATAAAACAAACTTACAGTCTGGTTTTAGACATGTGGGTGCTCATGGGAAATTTTGTTAACTGTGAAATTAAACCAGTGTAAGTTGTAGCACACCCTCTCTCCCAAACTCCTTTGTGCAAGAGATTAAGTAGATGTAAAATCAGAACCCTGAACGAGAAACACAGGAACGTGCTGTTCTTTTTTCCATCTTTTTAACCATGCTTTTGAAACATTCATTTAGCATTACAAATACCATTCCTACATTTACCTATCAACATTTGAAATGCATATTGCAGTATATGCTATTCCCTGGCTGGAAAATACTTGGAACACTCACAAAATTAGTAAAAGTCTGTGACAAGAAAGAAGGGCTGAGAGAAGAGGTCTATGTCAGATCTAAGTTTCCAAGAAAGGGCAGTATAGATTTTGGAGAGTTTCAAAGAAAAACCTGTAAGTGCAGCAACACACCACCCTGCAGAACTAACTCCAAACATGTTTGTGTTATCCTGATGAAAATCTCCTAAGCACCATCTATGAGGGAAGTGTTAGAAGACTCAGAGTCAGAAAGCTCAACAAATTCCTGATACATGTCTAAGACATAAAAATTGAGTGGTTTCAACAGTTCTAAGCATGTCCTTTATACCTTGCTAGCACCATCAAAAATACCACATATATTAACATACTCTAGTTACAGTTAGGACAATCAATAGGTGTTTCTAATGGACTTAGTTTTCTTTAGATCCAAGATCATCAAAGTGTAAATTCAGCCCAAGCAGTACAAATCAGGCTGAAGGGCCTTCTCAGCATGAAGCCTCCCTTACACAAACACACAGTGCTCAGAAAGGAGCAACAGGTCTGTTGATAGTCACGCATAAGATCTGAGTCCCGGCTAGGCAGATATAACATTATCATAGTGCTCTCACAACGATCATTTTTAAAGCCTTTTTAAAAAATTAAACCAGACATGCAGTGCACTCTCCTCTATAGAAGAAAGGCAGGTGTAGAGCGGTGGCAGCTCCCGCAGCAGCAGCAGCGCGGGAAGGAAGGCCCGAGCGGGGCTGTGTGCGGCGCTATCGGCAGCCGCCGTGAGGGGAAGCACCTGAGGGGCGGCCCAAGGCCGAGGCTAAGGACAGCTCGCTGTCATCTCCGCAGCGAGGCCCCTTTGTCAAAGCCTGAGTCGCTGTTCCGGAGCCGTGGGGCTCCAGCACGCAGTTCCCCGCCCGAAACACCGTCCCGGGGCTCTGACCTAGCCCTCTGCCAGCCGAGCCGAGCCGAGCCGAGCCGAGCCGTCCCTGCTCGCTGCCCTGCTCGCCTCCCCTGCCGCCCTACCTGCCCGCCTCCCGGCCGCCGGAGCTCCCGCAGCCGCGTCACGCCGCACCTGCCTTTTTTTGGGCTCCGACCGTGTCTTTTCCGTCAAGGCAACATCACTTCCCGTACAGCCCGAGGTGGGGGCGGGCCGGGCGGCACCGCCCCGGCGTGTCCCGGCCCCGCCGCGGCCACCTGGGCGGGCTGAGCGCGGCCCTCGGGCAGCACCGCGCGGCGCTCAGGGGCGTTAGCCGGGCTGGCTCCTCAGCCCTTCCCTCCTCACCTCCCTGAAAGATCTCGCGCGGTTGGTAAGAATTCATGAGAGGCAAAACAGGTTTTGCAGCGAAAATCCGCCGTGCCTGGTTAATGCACACCACTGTGGTTTAATGAGTTCTTCCTGCCGCCTGCTGGCTGCCTGCCTTCCCCCGCGAGGGAAGAACGCTCTTGACTCTCAGCACTTTAAACCCGGCAGTCTCAAGAATTCAGCAAATCTTAAGCTCAGTTGCATCAATAACCCTTCCACCTGCATCCCTTCAGACACCCTGTTTCTTGAGGCTTTTCAAATTCAACTGCCATCTTTATGGACAATTCCAGTCATTATATTTACAAAGGAAGTGCCTTCTAGACCTGAGCTACACCTCTTCAAAATAACCTTTTCAATACTTAGTGGTACTGTAAAGAAAGCTGCCAGAGTCACTGCAGTAATTCAGTGATGGCACTGAACTTTTGTGGCAATATGTAGCATTTCCTGATAGAATCAGGGAATGGTTTGGCTTGGAAGGGGCCTTAAAGACCATCTGGTTCCAATCCCTGGCAGAGACAACCTTGCATTAGACCAGGCTGCTCAAAGCCCCATCCAGTCAGGCCTTGGACACTTCCAGGGATGGGGCAGCCAGAGCTTCTCTGGGCAACCTGTGCCAGTGAATCACCATTCCCACTGTAAAAAATTTCTTCCCAATATCTAATCTAAACCTGCCCTGTTTCAGTTTAAAGCCACTGCTGTGTAATGTCATGTCCAAACTGCAATTGCTGCACTCAACTGCATTCTCCCAGCCCATCTTCTACTGCTACCCTCCCATCTCAGCTTCTATACCAGTACCTCCACCTACAACATTGTTCCTGGCTTAAAATATAGACACACAAACATTTCTTTCCTCATTCTGTCCAAACAAGATTGTGTTAAAACCAAAACCTGGCATAAGTTTGTCCCAAGATCTCCTGGGTTTGGTTTCTTTTTAGATTTACTGAAGTATTGAAGTATCTACTGATTTTGTTTCCCGAAGTCTCAGATTCTATTCTGTCAGACTAATCCACACCTACTCCAAGGGCCATGCTACCTTCCTGAGCTACACACTGAGGCTCTTCTTAAGGACAACCCATTTTCCAGGCAGATTTATGTATTCAATATCTACTGTAGCCTCACTCTGTCAGGACTGACATCTGTGTATAAGCACATGTGGTACATGCGTTTATGTACATATGGCCCGGTCTGATTATAAGCTACCAATGTTGGGTGCAGTTCCCTTCTCAGCCATGTGCACAACTGCTTCCCCAACTGAGCTGACGTATTAAGAACTGACACCATGAGAAGCAGAGAAAAATGGTATTTATCACTTGGAGGATCAGATCAGAGGCAATCCAACAAAACCCATGAAGCATAACGACACAGCAGCAGCTTTCTTTTTCAAGTTTCCTGATGTCATTTAAATTTAGAGGAGAAACTGCCCTTCAGACATTTAGCATGTCATCCATGATTCACTGACGTCCCGGAGTCTGGTACGAAAGACGCAGGCATGCAGCTGCAGCGGGCGGGCGGCTCCAGCGCGGGGCCGGGCTGCGGAGGCGGCTCGGGCGGGACGGCCCCGGCAGGTGACGGTCGCGCCGGCTCCCAGCGGCTCCATTGCCCCCGACGGACGGGGCGTGCGAGGGCCGGGCTGCGAGGCGATGCCCGGGAACGGCGCCGCACGCCTCCCTCAGGGCCTCTTGTCAGGCGCGGCGTCCGGCGGCGATGCGGCGGGGCCGTGTGGGGCCGCGGGCGGCTGGAAGAGCGGCCCGTAGATGTAGAGCCCGCTGGCCACGCCGAGCGCCACGGCCACGGCCACGTGCTGTAGCGGCAGCCGCCCCCTCATGCCGGCCGGCGCTGCTGCCGCGCTCACGGACACGCGTGGGGCGGGAGGGCGAGCACTGCGGGGCGGCCCCGGCTCGGCGTCGGCCCGCAGCCCCGGCGCCCTCACCTGAACGCGGGACACGGCAGAGCCCGGCTTCCCGCTGGCTGCCGGCACCGGACGGAAGTACCGGCGCTGTCCCGCCTCCCGCGGTCGCGCATGCCCCGGCGGGAAGGCGGCGGGGGAGCTGCGGGCGCGGATGCCGGAGGCGGTGCGGCTCCGCAAGCGGCGGTCGGTGCTGTACAGCTCGGCCGGGGGGGCCGCAGCGCAGCGAGGCGCCGGTAAGCGAGGCCGGGCCGGGCGGGGAGAGGCAGGGGCAGGTCTGGGGGGCGGCTCCCGAGGGGCCCGTGACGGACCAGCCTCGCCCCCGCAGGTGCGGCCGCGCCCGCGTCGCTGCTGGCGCTCGCCCTGGCGCTGCGGACCCTCAATTGCTTCCTCGTCCAGACCAGCTTCGTCCCGGACGAGTACTGGCAGTCGCTGGAGGTGGCCCATCGCATGGTCTTCAAATATCCTTCCCCTGCCGCGGCCCCCGCGCCCTCTCATCGCTCCCCGCGGTGCCCTGGGCGGGTGGGCGCTCGGGCACGGCTTTGCCGGGAATAAGGTGTTGGCTTGACCAGCAACACACACCCCACCCCTTTGGCCCAAGGGACAGAAGGTCTCGATCCGAATGGCTCGGATAAAGCTTTTCCTTTCAGTTGGTTATGATCTGTCCTTAATATTCATAATTATGGTTACCTGACTTGGGAATGGACAAGTAACTTAAGGGGCTACTCATACCCACTGATCTTTGCAAGCATATACAAAGCATTACAGCTGCTGGCTAAGGATAATGTTCAGCTGCTGGTGAGTATAATCAAAAAATGTGTATCTGCTACTAAAATTCAACTTTAAAGTATTGTATTTAAACACATTGTCACATTATCATTGTCCAAGTAAAAGGCAAAGCCTTGAGTCTGGCAATTAGAGATGTGTGAACACACAGATCCCACTGATTTCCCATGGGGGCAGAACTCAATCATAGATTTCCAGTCACAACACTGATGCCTGCAAGTGCAGAGGTCTCTGTCAATCTCTTGGATTTTCATATTGATTGTGTTTGCCACTACATCATAATTGCACAGTAGTTCAGTCTTCCAAAGTGTTTAGCAATGTATATTTGCACTCAACCCACAAGAACTAACAACAGCCCCTTTTGATTTCTATTGGAGATGTAAAACAGATAATTCTACTTTCCCATCTCTGAACACTTTCAGTTGAACTTCAGACATTCTCTGTTTTGGTAGAAATACTATCCTTACCCAAGGCCCTTACTATTTCATTTTTAAAATCATAAAAAGCTATAGAGAATACTCACCAATTCACTATTTGCATACTTGAACAGTCATTCACTAATTCAGTCCTCTCTTAAAACTTGGAATTTAACTTGGTTTGTTGCAAGTACAGTTTTCTCTCTGCTTACACAGATCTGGGTCCCTAGGCTTGCACAGGCAGTGCTGGCTGCTTTTGCTGATGTGAAGCTTTACTCATTAGTGCAACACCTTGAAAATTCAGAAACAGCAAAGTTCGTGGTGAGTCATAACCTTTAAAAAATTATGCACGTTAATAAACACTCGTTTTGCATTGTAAAATAAGTGAGTGCAAAATAATACGTCACACCTTGAAGAATTACCACCTTCATTTAGGTGAACTTGTTTTAATGTGTTCATAATTATTTTCAGTTCTTCTGCCAACTCTGTTCCTGGTTTACATGGTATTCCTGTACCAGAACTCTAACAAACACCATGGAGACTATTCTCACCATTTTTGCTCTTTCCTACTATCCGATAAAAGGCTCCAAGATGGGGAACAGGTGAGAAACTTTCTCCTAACAGTACTGATGATTTTTGGTTTGGGATGACACCAATCTACAAATATTGTTTAAAATGCTAACTTTTTTCTTAACATCTAAGGCAACCAAAGCCTTAGATGTAGCAAGAGTTCTGTCTCATGGAAGGAACACTCTAATATTTCCACTAAATATTTTTTGAGATTATGTTATAGCTGCATGTAAAATTAGCTATCCCCCTCTTCCCTTTTGCAAAGTGTGACTTTATGGGAAACTTATTTTAAACTTTAAAACCATGGAATATACAGTAACTTAGGAAAAGAAAACAAAAGCTTTTTGGGGTCAGATATAGGTGAATTGGTGGTCACAATTTTCTTTATCACTCACTATTTTAAAGTAGGTACCTCTAGTTAGCAACTCCATTGTAACAAAGTAATTCTAGAGTTGCAGCCTTCTAAGCAAGAGAGAATATCTGCACTCAGAGTGTCAAAGTTACCTGCAGTATGAAAAACTTTTGGTTAGAGACATGAATGTCACTGTCTGCAAAAGAATTGACCAGACCTTTTGATAAGCTGCTGGGTTTTTTATGTTTCTTCCTTCTAGTTGTAAGTATTTAGCTTTGGTTGCACTTGCAATTATTATTCGTCCCACTGCTGTTATCCCGTGGATGCCTTTGGTCTTCAGCCATTTTTTGCAAGAACAGAGGAAAGCAGACCTTATCCTACACAACTGCATTCCAGTCGGGTAAGTTCTTTTTCAATTTAAAATGGGACTGTGCACAGCTACATCTTAAGATTGGTTTTACCACTGCAAAGGCAGACAAGCCAAAAAACCTGATATCATGTAAATAAAACAAATAGAGTCCTTTTGCAAAAGTTTAAGGAAGGGGCACATTTCCTTCAAACTGTTGTATATGCTGCAAAAAGCAGCAGGAAAGATTTCATGAGGGTGAGACATGAGCAGCATTCCAGCTTAATCTGGGATTGTGCCAAGGATACCAGGTGATGGCAAGTGGCCACTGTAAAATGGCCATGAGTATGGATAACCTCAAAAATACTAGGAATCAGAGTTTTGACAGCTGGAGAAGATACAAAAGCAATTCAGGCAATATCGGTGCAACAAACTTTCCATTTTTGCAGATTGGTCACAGTAGGAACCTCTTTAATAATTGACCGTGTGTTTTTTGGTGAGGTAAGCTGTTTTAAACTTGACTTATAAGAAGAAGGTTGGGTTTTAGTATTTTAGCATTGGTGGATATTTCAGATTTCTCTGACTTCTCCTGTTTCTGTGACAGTATCTGGCCTATGATCTTTAAATATATCCTAAGCCACAAACCCTTGAACACTGATTCTCAGGTATTTCAAGTGATGGACTGCTACATAAAATCAGTATGCTTAGTCCTCAATAGTTATCAATCAATATTATCTGTGATTAATTGCTCAGTATAGGAAATCCCTGCTGAGTCTTAGTAAAAAACAAACAACCTGAAATAGGAGTAAAAATGTATTATATAGGGCCAGTGATGACTGTGTAGCTGTTGTGTTTGACTTTGGATTTGTGTTTAACTCCCCCTATCTCCCAGTGGGTACTGGTTCAGCTGAACTTCTTGAAATTCAACGTGCTGCAGAATTTGGGAACATTTTATGGCTCTCACCCCTGGCACTGGTACTTCACTCAGGGTCTGCCAGTTGTGCTGGGTCCCCATCTGCCGTTCTTCGTTCACGGCTGCGCGCTGGCACCAAGGAGGTTCCGCATCCTTCTGCTGGCACTGCTCTGGACACTGCTGGTGTACAGGTAATCTCTGCTGAGGGCAACTGCTGCCTCTCACTGCTCGTGTCCTTGGCAAAGCTCCTGTCCTCTCCACAGCAAAGCAGCATAGTACTCAGGTTAAGTGATAGAAAACTTACAGAAACTGTTCGAACACTCCAAGAAATGCAGTCAGTTATAAAACTGGTTCTAGAATTTTGTGCAATGCTGCTTCTTGTATTGTCACCAATATGTATCTTTAGAATTTATTAGACCTTTAAAGAATAAAATAATTCATCATTAAATGAAATTTAAAAAAATCCCAAAGCCAACACTCAATCACCCAGCAGATGTTTAAACAAAAATAGAACTAGTTAGAAAACTGAGTTCCCTAGATGCCTGTTAATGAAAACACCATTTTGTTTGGTTCTTTAATATATCCCCAGTAAGATGAGAGATTCTTAGACCTCTAAAACTTACTCCATTCCCAATTTTATACACAGCTCTTAGCTACCATAGGGCTGTATTTCTCACTGTAAGCTCAGAAGTATAAGAAAAGATAAGTTTTCAGAAAGCATCAGAATTAACTGTAGATTAAACAGAAGAGACACTTTCAGACATGAAAAAATACAGCAAGTAAATAAATACTAAGCAATAAATACTTTTATACTATCGTCGTAATAGACTACAGCAAAACAGTAGCAAGGTCAGAAATGCAATTCCTTCTTTCCAGCTTAAAACTGGAAGTAGCTTTATTGGCTTTAGGACTTTTTTACCTCCCTTAGTTTCATAAGAATCCCTTTGATTCCCAAGACATGAGAGTTGCAGTAATCCCCAAAAAAGCCCAAAAAGTTGTCATGGGGAATTGTTTATTTTTGTATTAGCAGGGGTGACTGTTAATTTGCTAGATACAAATGGGCACTTGAATCTTAGCTTTTCATCCACACTATTTATTGTGTCTTATTACAGAAAACAGATTGGTGAAGTACTGGTTAAATTACATCTAGTTATCAAAGAATCAGACCACTCAATTGTAATAGCCAGGAATTTTTAACAGTGCTTGGTTTAAACTGACCAAATAGTCTTAGTTTGAATGTACTTATGTTCTTCAAAAGTGATAATTTGGATTTTTACTCTTAACTGCTTCAATACCAAAAGCTTCTTAATACATGCATGTGCTGTTCTTCCCTGTGCTCTAAAACACTTTTTAATGTTGTCAACAGAACTGAAGCATTTAACTTTCTTGCTGTACTACTGTGTGTTTTATTACAGCACACTGAGCCATAAGGAATTCAGGTTCATCTATCCAGTACTGCCATTCTGCATGATTTTTTGTGGTAAGCATTGGTTTCAAATGTCTTGCAGCCTTACCTGGATATAATTTTTACCCCAGGAGAGACTGTTAATGGTCAATGTAGGTATTTGATAAAGGATTCTTAGAATTAGCCTAGCCTTTTCTTACAGCTAGTCAAAAAGAGAAAGAAAAAAGATGAGGGAGAGCAAGTGACTGTTGCACAGATAAAGAATTCTTAGCATGGATAAAAGTATTCTTGCAAAAACATGACAACTGTGTGCCTTTTCCCATTATTAGCTCCTTCAAACAAAGTGGGGAAAAGGGGCAGTGATTGGAGATGGGAAAAAAAATGGAGTATGCTTTTCCAAGGCCAGAAGCTCAAAATTTAAAAACAATAAAATAATGCTGTAGTTTTCAGCAGTTTGGAGAAAAAGAATACCACAGCCGTGCACATGTAGTTACCATTTATTCTGGCTCAATGTGGACTTGCATGAATCAGAACACATCAGTAAGTTGCCATATATCATTCATCCAAACTATTGAATGGACTGGTTTTCACTACAAGAAATTAAATTTAAAGAGACAAAGCACTGGTTTTGAAATTGTATTGCCACTGTATTAGGCTACTTTAAAAAATGTATTAATTTTTTATCTCCCAAACTTACACCAATGTTTCTATAGGATATTCTTTGAGATACCTGAAAGCATGGAAGAAAACTGCAGCAAGTTTCCTGCTGTTATCCAATTTAGTCCCAGCCCTGTACACAGGCTTGGTTCACCAGCGAGGCACTCTGGATGTTATGAGTCACATCCAGCAGCTCTGCAGTCACTCCCAGCAGTCACAAGCTTTTGTCTTCATCCTGATGCCATGCCACTCTACCCCATTTTACAGGTATTAAAAGTGTCAACAGTGCCTTACATTAAAACCCAAACTCTTAATCAGAAATCAAGATTTCTTTTTTCCACGGCTTAATAAATTGAGATATATAAATGTATACAGGAAGAGTTTTGATTTTTCATACTGTTAATACAGAGTGAATAGGGGAAATAAGCCAAATGTTTATAACACAGAATAAAATTCAGCATCTAAGCTTTACTCATTTTTGTGGAATAGCTTTGTATGAGGATATGCAGTAAGTCTAATGACTTCACTAAGTATGTCACATTTCTTCATTATGATAACATTTTTAGCAAAATTAAACACTAATTGTTACAATAAAAATGTATTAATTTTACTTCTGGTGCTAGGCATTACAACACTGACTTAGGTCACTGCAAAAGGTTTTCAGTAGATCCTGGCAAGTAAACAAAATGTTAAAGCAGATATAACTAGTGAAGCTGATATGGAAAAGTACCTTTTTAAGAAACTGATGTGCAAATGGTATTTTTATTAAGATAAATGTGTTTTCTGTTAACTGCTAACAGCACAGTCCCAGCAGTTGGAGCTGAGTCTGCTTGCTCTACTTTGCTTTCATATGAATTACTGAAGGGAAAAAAATACTACTCTAAAGAAAAAAAAAATTAACTGGTATTTCTTTTGGTTGAGGTGTCATTTGAAGTGATGAGTCATTTCAAACCTCTGATTCTGGTCAGTTTATCATGAAATGTGTTTTTGTTTTTCTCCCTAGTCATGTTCACTGTCCTCTAAAAATGAGATTCCTTCAGTGTCCCCCAGACCTAAGTGGCAATGCGAGCTACGTTGATGAAGCAGATGTGTTTTACTCTGACCCACTTGGCTGGCTGAACAAGGAGTTTCACAATGACACATTATTACCCAGTCACTTGATCCTCTTCAATGTGCTAGAACAGGTATGGTAACATCACAATGAAACAAAGTGCTTCTGAGGATAAGTTACAAAATAAGTTAGAGAAGAGTTATAGTTAAAATATTTGAAAATTGTGGTTCACAATTTTTAAAATATAGCTTATATTAAAATTGACCCCTATAGCCCATAATAAGATTATTGATATCATTCCACTGCTCTGTATTTAATGTTCATGTATGCTCTCTCCTCTGTGCAAATTCTACAGGCCACAAAGTCATGTTAAAACAAATGTGCCATCTATTCCCAGAAACTGCACTTTTAAGTAAGCAACAATGAAAACTAAAAACACCTGCAGTCACAGTACCTTTTAACCCCTCAAATCTTTAATGAAGTCCATGAATTCAGACAATGGTGGCTGGTGAATATCTGCTCCAGACAGGATCAAACAGGATAAGTGCTTCTTTTTCTAGCAGGCTTTCCTAAAATAAAGGATAAAGCTTCCCAGGGACAGTTGAACTGATGGTTGTCAAGAGACTTTGAAACACTATTCTTATGCTCCCAGATGTGTTTTCTTACTGTGTAAATTAATGTATGTTCATTTGCAGGAAATATCATCATTTCTAGCTTTAAAGGGCTATGAGAAAACAGCCACTATCTTTCACACTCATGTACCTCAAGGACGAGTTGGAAGCCACATCTCCATCTACAGGAGGAAAACTGAAATGAATTATCCCTGAAGATCAGGCTCAGGCTCAGAGCTCAGACCCAATGAGATCAGTTTTGCACAGCAGTAGCTGTGCTTACAGCTCGTACTGCAGAAAGGAGAAAGCACTGAGTCTGAAACCGGGGGAGTGCCATGAGGCTGCCTGCAAACACATCCACCTCCTCCTGAAGGCAGCTTCAGTAGCACTAGGGCAGGGTGGGGTTCCTGACCTACCTTACAACTCTAGAAATCATTGGGAAGACCAAAATTACCATATGAATACTTAAGCAATAAAATACAGACAAGACTGGACCGTTTTTATAGAACTGTACAGCTCTGCTGAGTTTCTTTTATAATAAAAGACTTTTACCCACAATGTCTCTTTTATTTTTCTTCTACAATATGCAGATATGCAAGACATTTCAAGTGTTTAAATCAGCACGCTGATTAGAATGCAGCACAGCAAATTCTTCACAATTCAACAGGCTCTTGAACCCCCCCAAAGACAGGAAGCAAATATAAGGTTACAGAACACTAACAAATACATTACCACAATGTTGATCTATTTTTTGAAGGATGAGATGAAGTTAGTATATCAAACACTGGAGTTAGTAGTTGGTACATTATGCATGGCTCAAGCTTTAACTACACTAATGGAATGCAATTAAGCATTTTTTATACACAGGTCATGGCATGCCTAGTTTCTGCAACAATACTGCTGGCACCCAAACTATCTTTACTTCCAAAGAACAGTTAAAGCAACGGTACAGAATATGCAAATTAGAAAGCCTGACTTCTGCCTGTTAACAAAAATGTGTAAAAATCAAATTATTCAGAAAAAAAATTTGCATTTTGCTGCTTTGTTGAAAAACAATTAGTTTCCAGAGAGCATGTGAATTTTAATCTTAATTTTTACAATAAATTACTCAATATTTTGGATCAAAGGGTAATTGCCCCAATTCTATTTCAAGATTTGCCATGTGTCTTCCATTAGTGCGACCATGTTTATGCCATTTACCTTCTCTTTTATTACGGTGTTGGTACTTCTGAGCTTGTTTTTCATGTCTGGAATTTTCAGTTTGTGTAAAAGGTCTTTTAGGTCGACTGCAAGGAGTAAACAAAAGCTTATTACTACTAAAAGCATTTTATAACACAAATACATTTTCAAGTACAGCTTTTAACATGCTGAGGTTCATTGAAAACAAAATTAGTAGTAAGTAGTCCTTTAGCTCCTTGTAAGAAAAGTGGGGGAGGCATTTCTTTGTTTAAATCATCAATAAGATGGTATATACAAAAGAAATGCTTTCTAAAAATAAAAATGCAGCTGGTATCACAAGCTTCTGTATATCAGTATCAGTAAAATAATTTGGAATTGATTTTCTGCAAACTGAAATTCTCACAAATTAGGTATTTAATAAATTAGGAAGATGGACTATAAAGAAAATCATAAACTTATGTGTTTGCCAAAAGCACATTAACTGGGTAGCTGATAATAGGACTATCACCCTCATGGTTCACCTTTCAATAGGAGCAAGTGCTACATTACATAATACTTAGTAACCCCAAAGTAGTTAATAGTTCAGACTTGAGCTGCAGTAAAGTACATGAAATGATAAATAATACAAGTGTAAATTTGTAAAGCCCTGAGAACACCTTTAGATCCAGGAAAGGAATGTAGGAAACAATTGACACAAAGGGCCATTGTGAGCAAGTCTGAACAAAGCCCAGTCAGGGTCTGAACTAAAGCCTGCTGTGTGATGAGCTCTGCTCTGGACATAGACTAACCCAGTATTACACAAATCTGCAGGAGAATAGTGAAATGTATCTGCCAGAACATGACTCAGACACACCTTAAATACACTCAAAAACCTCATTCAGCAAAGGACAACAAGGAAGCCCCAGTAAATGCTCCAAGACAGTTCCTCATTCCATCAGACGGGCAATCAGAGCTGTTTGGTCTAAAGAAATCCTACTGGCAGCTCCAGTTTTCTAAAGAGCCCAGCAGAAACATCAGATTGTGCTATGAACACACACAAAATTTATATAAAGGTTCTACAGATCCACTTTATTTAACATAATCTAATATTTCCACCAAGTCCTTCAGAAAGTCTTCTAGCATATGTGTGTGTGTGTATGCATACATACACATACACACACACACGCACACCTGCTCAAAGACCATCCATTACAACAAGGACATTGCTTGTCTTTATAAAGAACACTTCTCTGTGTTATCAAGTACAGGAAACATGAAAACAAACCTGGGTCCATACTGGGGTGAATTATCATAATGGAAGTAGTATCTGTAGACATATTTGTCCAAATCCTCAAAAACCTTCTCATTATTACTTTGGTATTCCTTCATATCTTCCAGGTAATCCTTGACATCATTAACAAAATCGGTGAACAGCATCTGGTCATGTATAAACAATCCATTATGAAAAAACTTATTGATGAAATTTTCTAGTTCTCTCCAGTGATGAAAGTTATGCACAACTTGCTGCAAATACTTTCTCATTAGCCGGTTAAATTCATCCACCCTGATGGGATCCGAAACTCTGTTAAAGAGACTAAGGAATTCTTGATGAGCACATTCAAAAATACCAGAGCAGCCCTTTAGGGCAAACTGATGTTTTCTATTACACAAATGATCATTGAGACATTTCTGGGAATCTGAATCTTTTTCATATGTTGTAAAATGATGTTTCCTTCCATTTCTGGATTCTTTGGGCATGTGAGGTCCCCTGTAATGCATGTGCTTCAGATTCTCGTAGGAGTTATGGTCTCGGTAAAAAGTTCGAGCTTTCTTGTTTGCCTCATATCTTTTGTCACTTGATGACTTCTCTTTTTCATCAAAGATGTTTTTTGTGGTATCTTTGAAGTGTCTGAATGTAGACTTTACAGAATCAGAGAATTTTTTCAAGTTTTCTTTCACTGCTTCTTTAGCCTGCTTAATCTTTTCTTTATGGTGTCTTACAAACTCTTTTGTGGAATTTTTCATAGCATCAAAAGTTTCTTTCACTGAACCAAAAAATGTCTCCTTTGATTTCTTTCTACTCTTACTTTGCCCTTTAAAACCTTTCTTCTGTCCACTTTCATAAATTTCTTGTTTTTCAGATTGGTCTTTTGCTTCAACATACAGCTTCTCCCATAAGTCAGAGCGTTGCTGCTCAAAGTTCAGCTTCTTTTCCAGTTCTGCCAGTCTTCCTCGCAGAGTTTCTATTTCTTGATTTTCTCTTAATGTCTCATCATCATCAGCAGCAGCACTCTCAGGTGTTTGACGAGAACTTAACTGTTCCAGTTCTTTCTTCAGAGCTTCTGTAACATGACGTTCCTTGTCCAGTTCTCGCCTTAGCATCTGTGCCTCTGCAAAGAGTGTTTCCTTTTGCCTGAGAAAATTGCTGTTCCTTTGCTTTTCCTCTTCCAAATGCTCCCTTAGTTTCTGATTTTCTATTACAATAGATTCAGTGCTACTACCTTTATCTTCTAAGTTTCTAATTTGTTGTCTTAGCTTCCTTAATTCTTCCTGAAGTGAGGCCAAAGCTTTTTCTTCTTTCTCTAGAGATTCTCTTAGGTGCTGATTTTCTGCAGCAAGACTTTTTTTTTGAGAATCAAAGGATTTCTTCTCCACCTCAGTAAAGGTCAAACACGTGTCAAGATCTCCCTTGAGTGACTAAAAGAAACAAAAAGAAAACAAGCAGAAATACTACAATGAGAATTGTTACAACTTCAGCTAGAAAGATGAAAAACCAAGGTAGCCCAAACAGAGCTTACTTGTCATTTTGGATGCAATGGAACATGCACAGCCAAGATGCAAAAATAGAGCTGGTTTGTTTATCTCAGCTGGGTTTGTTTATCACACACTTTCTTGGCAACAAAGACCATGTGAGAAACTCTCCCAGCCAGCCAGAGGTCACCACCCCTCACTTGTATTGGTTTAACTAGACAAATAGTCAGTTGGGTGCATGAACTCATAACATCTTCAAAGGAAATCAAAATGTGCATCTTTGCTGTTGATTTATGTTCAGCAAACTGGATTTACAGATTACCAAAAAAATTAGCAGAAGCAAAGGCATTTAGCTGTTGGGGCAGAAATTCACAAACTGATTTTTCATCAAATCTGAAAATATCTGTTTGTGTAACTATATACTAACACAAAAGGAGCTCCCCAGTCTGTTGGCATCATTGACAAGCTCTAGAACATACTGAATTATGTACAAATGCTGCTAACAGACACATAAAAGAAAATCTAAAAAAAATACCCACTCCCTAATCATCTCTCTGATGATGCAGCAGCAAAAAAACAGAAGTATGGTTTAAGTATTCAAAAAATTAATACTTATTGATAATTTAGAAAGCACAATCACAAAATCTCTACGTTCAACATGTTTTTACAAGCATTTTCTACTTCAGTTGTCCTCATTGATGACAACCTGGCACTGTGTCACAGGGAAATAGTCTCTGTGTCCAGATAACTCCTAGACCACAGACATAGAACCCAGTATGCTTAACCACATTCCGAGAGCAAATTCAATCAACATAAACATTTGTCAAGAATTCAGGGGAAAGTTCTCTGAAAGAACTTGCTAAAGACAAAAATTAAATGGATTTGTGTGAGAAATTCGTTTCACTTTGTGTAAAACACACACACAATGACAGAATTATGCAATGACTTCCAGCTAAGCTCACACCTACCCCCCCTTTGTGGTGCACTTGATCTCCTTGCTCTTGTTGGCACTGGTAAAGGTCATCTTTCAGATCCTTTAATTCACGTGTCTTTGTCACCAGCTGCTGCCGTTTCTGGATCTGCACTGTACCTACAAAGATAAAAAAGTTTCTTTTGATAGACTGACTTAGAGTAAGCAGTTAGAGTAAACCATTTCTCAGACCCAAAAATCGGCTTCTACACTGGTTTTTCATTTATAACAAATAAAGGAATTTTGGAACACTGCATAGAAATAAATTAGATCCAAACCAACAAGTTATGCAGGAAAGAATATTTGTGACTTCTCTGTAAGTTTTTTAGAAACATGCAAGTCAACCAGGATAAAAGCGAGACTATTGGTCCATGCATTATCCACTTCAGAACTCCAACCTTGACTGTTAATTGAATTCCATGAATGAGAGGATATTAGCACAGTGTTTAAATTTTCATGCAGAAATACAATTATTACACACTGCTCACAAAGCAGCAAGTATTTCAGGCCCTGTCTTGTCCTTCTTATCCATAAGCAGAGGCTGCAGAGTAAGCACGTGTCCTGTTTTTCAACTGCCAGACAAAGGCTGAGACATCCTGGCTTTCACAAAAAGTATCTGTGCTGTACCAGCCACCAAATTTTCTTTGTCAAGAACAGCTTCTTGACTGGTACTTCCTCACCTAACATATCTTCTCTAAATCCTAACACTGATGTAGTTTTTATATATTTGCTTTTTAGAGTCTCTTGAATTGACTCTAGAGAAGAAGGCAACAGCAATTTTTAGGTATTTCTTTCAAAACCACTGCATCATAATCAGAGATCTATTTCTGTATTTAAAGGCAGGGGGAGACATACTGTAAACAGTAGAAATACTCTAAGTACACTTATACTGATGAATGTTTTGTGCTCTCTTCTTTTTTATCTATTGTGAAGTGTGACCTTAAAAAAGACAGCTCTATTAAACCAAGCTGAACTATAATAGTTCAATTCAGCAATAGCAACATTTGCCTTCAAGCAAAGGCAACATTTTTACAGCAATGATTTTAAGTCTGCAGAGTCCTAGTAAACATTTCTTGAGAGCACAGATCCTTTCATAAATGAATTCAAGTATACTGACAGTAAATTTGGTTTTAATATTTATCTTTTATAGATGCATTTGAGGAAATCCATCAATCCTAACAATCTAAAGTCTGCATCTGAAAAATCATCATTTAGCATAAAGGGTTTATATTGGGTAGAACTTGAATTACAGAAAACACTTAAAGCTCTCTTTTTCTCCTTATTAAAAAATCCTAATTTAAGTACAGTAAGCAAAAATGACATTTAGCAACACTAAAAATGAACATATTGAAGTGCCATTCCTCAGTAATTGGTTTGTGTTTCCAGCTGGTACTCTGAAGTCACAGTTTCCTTCAGATTCTTTAAGTAACCAATCCAAATCCCTGGCATTATAGCTATAGTCCCCCTTGCAGTTTCTGGTTAAAGAAAAAAATTAATCTGAATGTCCATAAGGAGACATTTTTCTGGCAAGGACCTTCTACCTGATTTAAGCTTCACCTGTTACCTGAAAAGTTTGCCTTCACTCAGTTCTCCTTCCTAGAGCATCATAAAACCAGTTAACTCAGTTTAATACTGCTTAGGATACAGTTGATTAAAACATATAAATTAATCTAATTAATCTAATCTAGTTGCTTTCTGCATCTCTGAAAGTCTTAAGGGGGCCCTAGAGCTCTAGCTAAAAAGAAAATACTATCCTGATATTGACCCAAAAAAAGGAAAGTAGTTTTAAAAGAAGTTACACTTCCAATCCTCTTACATGACAATTAGCCTAACAGTAGAAGAGTGCTGTGGGAAACATTCATTCCAAGCTGAACCACAAAATTACAAAGTAGTCCTCTAGGGAGATGGATTCTCCCTGCAAGTTTGTGTAGGAAAAGAAAAAACAACCTAAAAACAGGAAGATGGAAGCAGAACTTCACTTCCTTTCTAGTGGTAGAAAGATAAGTTATCACATAACCATGAAGAACTTTCACTTGAAGAAGCAAAAACTGAAGCCACACAGAGTTGCCTTCCTTCTGCTGAAAAATACAGCCATCACTGTCATCAATGATGGCAATTTTTATTTAGAAGTACAGATTCAATGAATGAACAAGTGAATTCCTTAAAAACTGCATTGCCCTGAGTCCACATTCAAAGTGTATTTTTCATCCACAGATCTCCAAGTTCTTTAAAAAGATAGTATTTATCATTAACACCAAACTAAACACAATGAAGTGATTACCAGCTGAGATCTCATGTTCCCCCACAAGCACTATCACAGACTGCTGTGGTCACTGTGCTCCTCTATGCCTCTAGCATGCCAATGCTCATCAAACAGCTTTCACACCAGTTACTACTACATAAAATGTGTATGATTGGATTAGTTGTTCCTATAACCCCACACACATCTGCAACTCCTGAGACTTGATTTCTTGTTTTATTTTCTCAATGTAAGTATGCATACATATATGGATGTGTGTGTACACATACACACACACAGTTTAAAAAGTTACTCTGAGTGCAAGCACAGCATCCACAGTACATCACTCAAGGCTCTTACCTTCAGGTTTACCTAAGAATAAAATAAATGGGATCGATGAAAATTAATACAGATCTCAAGAAGTGCCAAAATTGAAATCCCTAACAATCAGTCAACACCGAATCCAAAGTGAATGATATCCCCATCTCCAACTGAATCACGTGCCTTTTTAGAAAGGCATATTTTCATATAAAACTAGAGCTACTCAGAAAAAATCACTATTTACCCCATTACTGTACAAAGTAGTGTATATTGCATACAGTTGCACTGCTGAAGAACCTCCCTGTATTACCGCTACAGCTGCGGCGGCTTAGGTCGTTAGCAGAGAACAAGACAAAACATGGGAGTCACAATAAAACAGCATTTTTGCTGCACAAGGAGTGCACTCTGTGTCCTGCCCTCCCCAACTCACCGTAGAAGTGCCCGAAGCCCATGCTGATGGCGATCACCAGCGCCAGGACGATGCACCTGTTGAGGCCGCTGCCGAACTGCC